TTAAATTAGTAATAAAAACACTATTTTAGTTAGTTAGTTTGCCCTATTTTAGAGTATGGCGCTATTATCTGGAATCCACATACAGCCAACGACGTTTGTTTGGTTGAAAGAGTACAACGTAGATTTTTGCAATTTGCTGGTTTTGTATTGGATATTCCTCATCCCAAACATGAATGCTCATCTATTGCCGAATACCTTAATCTTCCCTCACTTGTTAATCGCCGAAAGGCCATAGGTACTAAATTCTTAAAAAAATATACTTGATAGTAAAGTTGACTCTCCATCTCTTTTAGCGCTAATCAATTTTAAAATTCCCCAGAGAATATCCAGAAATCACACTCCCTTCTTCATAACTATCTGTTCTTCTAATTATATTTATAATGCGCTAATTAAACGTTTAATTAAAAAATGCCCATGAAGATCCCTCTTTTAATTTTAATTGAACATTTATTTTATGTAATTTTGTTTAAAGGTTTGTTTTTTCTTATCGTTTATTATTTTTATGTAACTGTTAATANTAATTTTAATTGAACATTTATTTTATGTAATTTTGTTTAAAGGTTTGTTTTTTCTTATCGTTTATTATTTTTATGTAACTGTTTTTTTTTCATTTTCTGTAACTATATTTTTGTATAATGAGGGTCAATCCCCCCGTTGAATAAATAAATAAATAAACGCGCTGATCAAAAAAAAATTTAAATCGATAGCCAGCAAATAATAGCAACGAGGGTTTTTTACTGTCCCTGACATGGAGGTTTAAAACCCGTAACACGGTAATGGTCTAGTCATCGTCTGCCGTTCCGACACTCATTATCAGACCGGCTTGCCGCTCTGGTATCAGTGGGTCTTGGATCCATGGTGGCTGTCACTGGAGTGACTTTGTGGTTTAAGGCTGAATGCTGGACTCAGGAAATGCAACTGAGTGACGGGTCCTTAGACATGTCCTTGGCACCAACTGGCCTTTCCCAGTGAGGAGATGCACTGGAAGAGGTTGCGTATACCATAATACGTAGTGGCTTGGATAGTGGCCGCGGTCCGAACACGGTGCCCGAGGTTAGTGCAAACCAGAGGCGAACGGTACGGACCTAATTGTCCGGCGCGGGTGTTCCGTTTGAAGACACTTTGACAGTGGACCTAGGTCGCTCCTCGCTCATTGATCCTCCGTGCCTGGCAAATAGCACCTAGTGCTAACGCTGATCACGGTTGTATGTGAAGCTCTTCGGAGAAAAACGCACATAGACAATAAACATTGTCCCTAACTTTCCTAGCTTAATTGAATTAGATCAATTAAAATTAATACTAATTAGAGAAAATGGTTGTTTACTATTATGGATTTAAGAATAAGTATCATATAACTAGATACTAATAACATCCAAAGGTGTAACTAAAGGGAGGCAAGGGAATGGGTTGCCTCTTTGTTACTACAGTTAGCCAACAAGATATATATTTTTAATATTTAAAAAATTATATTGATAATATATTGCATATGTATTTCGAGTTAAATAATCTATATTTATTCTTATTAATATATTTCCATAATATTTATAAGGAAATATTCAAAAAGATATTTTTTAAGCACATTGTAGAAATATTTTTAGTGTAATATTCTGTATTTATTCTCTTTAATATATTTAATTACTGTCAGATATTATTTGTACTTGTCCAAACTATATTGCGACCCATTGTACTAGGTTTTTTTCATAAGATCACTCTGCCAAATGGACTTAGTTGTCCCCTAAAAAGATTAAAAAGATGTGAAGGGGATGAGAGAACCGATCAAGATGCGGTACAGGTGCCGAGTTTACAGCTAGAGAGCAGTGTCTATTACGTCGTATTTCTAAGAATGATTTATTTTAATACATATTTTCTTCAACAATAATTTTTAATATATAATATAAAAGTGATACATTATATAATTTTTATTTCTACCTTTACACCTATTTATAGTTGAGTTAAAGCAGACTTCATCTCTTTCGTCCATTACTAAAATCTAATTTACCTCTCGAAACCAAATTACTTATTCATCAGTCAATAATCAGACCAATCTGATCTTATGGTATACAGATATGGGAACCAGCTAAACCATCCTGCATTCGACCAATACAATCTTTTCAAAATATAACATTACGAGTGTTAACTGGTGAATTCAAAACTTTTAACTAAAAAATGTACATAACTTCAATATCTGACAATCCATCACGAAGACTCAAACGTAAATGGAACCGAGACCTACTGGTTTAAAAAATTAACGATAACAATAAAACCATAACTTGTATACAGCTTCAACTAAAACTAATCGAGGTGCTACTAATGGGTGACTTCCTTTTAACGCTATTAATGTTATTTAATTGAATAAGTCAACAAAAAAACTTATTGTAAATTTTAGGTACAGATTGTTTTTTTTTTTAATAAAGAAAGAAAAAAAAAAATTACAAAATGATTTATAAAAATAATTTGGTCTAAGAACATAAGAAGTTAATTTTTGGTTCGTATTTTGAAGAACAATCAATAATTTAAAATTTTTATTTGATAAATTTTAGATATATCAGTATGATTAATTATAGTGTATTTGTTTGATTCTTCACAACTTCAATAATTCAAGTTATTTTAAAGTAATGACACTTAATTTACAATCATACCCGTTACAGTGACGGCGTGTTGGCCTTGGGAAAATTATAAACGCGGAGTTCTAAACTCAATTATCTTATAATTATTTTTTTTATTCATTATTTTTTTGTCAGAGCCCCAAATCTACAAAAAAATTCGGGAACGCGGACATAGGTTCTACTTACCTAACCCTAAATTTGGTTCAGACCAATCATACAAAACAATTTAGAAGTTGAAAAATAATTATAAATTTTAAGGTATTGAAATGGTTTTTTATACTTTATTTATTTTATTGTAAATTAGATATAAATTATAGTATTAACTATATTAATTGAAGGTATTGCCTGATTTTGGTTCTGATGGTAGTCGTGCACTTTGAAATCCACCTGCTCATTTAAATGCATCTGTACTGCATTTTTAAACCAATTATAAAAAGGTAAGTGTTTAAAGCATTATGATTAGGATTCGATAGTACAAACATTATTAAAAAAATTTTCCTTTCAAAATTATAAACAATTTTTGTTTTTTTTGAAAATCTACAAAAAAAATATTAAATTTATTTTATATTTTTATTTAAATTAATAATTTATTATTTGTTTTAACAATTTCAACTGAAATAATCTATGGTCAATTCATGATGAATAATATTGCCCTTATATGCTTTAGTGTCAGAGACTGGCACCTAAGGAATTTATAAGATGACTTTGGATAATATTATAAGTAAACAACTATATGAACAATTTATGAAAGTTATTAATACAGTACAGAAGGCCGTATTGAACATATTGTACGTATTGTACGATTGAACATTAATTTTCAATAGCAGTTAAAAAATCATGTCATAAATGTCCAATTATCTATAAGTTTAATTTATTATGTTTAACGGTTTTCTATCACTTACCCTGTCCATAAATATTTAATAAATTAAAATGGAAAACTGAAGAAAAAAAAACACAATTTCATGATTTGTATTATTTTTAATAGAAAAATTAAATTAGAACGAACGTCATTTTATAACTAGCCAATGGTATACAACACAGTACAGATAAAATTAATTAAATAGTCCGTATCGTTTGTCGTAGCTGAGTGTCTATGGAGCGTATCGCCTTCATTTGTATATGACAAAGTGACAAAGCGACTTACTGACTGTGATTTATAATGGCAATAGACTATTCATTCATGTAAATATATTTTTATATATTTTAGAAATTAGAAATTTATTTATAATAACAATAACGATCATAATATAATATATGGCAATAGTTACCCACAGACATTGTTATTTAATAAATTCGTCCAGCAACGCGTATAATAAACCTTAGTACTACGAATCTACATTTTCTTTGATTTTCAAGAAAAACTACATAATACACGTTTTTATCACATACTTTTAAGATATTGGATTTTTAAGACATTATTTTGGGGGGAAATAATGATATCATGACTACTATAATTTGTAATAAAAATAGGCGCAGTGTGATTTTATATTACTCCAATGAAATACATAAGTTTGGTTAGAATTATAGGGACACAATATTACAATTTACCTAACAAAGGAAAAATCTCAAAAATTTTCATAAAGCTTGAAATTATTATCACTAATGTAATTTTTACTTATTGTTAGTTATCCACAATTTCACATGTATCAAATCACATAAAGTGAACAATTATTAGAAGCTAATTTAATTAAAAATTAGTATGAATTTAGTATGTTAAGACATCATTCATATTGTAATATATCCATTACCATAATACATTGTATTACTCGAAAAATGCTCATTTTTTATTGCTTTGTCAAATAAGACATCAGTAGTATACTCAGTCCCTGGCGTTTGTTGCTTCAATCTACGATGTAGTCATTAATGACACAGACACCCTACTTTCAATGCACATGGTTTCTTGAATTATTAGGATTTAATTGTCGTTAACAATTTCTTTTAATATTGTGAATAAATATATATATATATATACAGGGTGTTCAGTAAGTCAACTAGTAAAAATATAAAAATATTTAAATAGAAAATTTCTGGAAACAGGAGAATATATAATATAGAAAAATGAATACAGTTAAAATGTAAAGACCTGTAAGGCCATGTTACTTATTTTTCATTTTGATACTTATATAAAAATAAATTATAAAATCTTCAATTTACAAAACAATCGTTTGAAAAACAAATTTGATTACATGACCAGATTGGACGTAGTCGGACAATTTTTAAAAAAGTATTAATAGGTTGTAATGGGCAACTTTATTATCCTACAGTCGTTTAAATGACACACGCTGCGGGCTACATTTGTTGCTACTCATACATGATGAACCATACTTTATCTGGCCGTTTTAAACTCGAACGAGTCGGTCTTTTAGAAGATAAAAAAATATGTAATTGCCGTATAAACCCTTAGGTAGAGGGGCTTCCGACCGACGTTCCACCGCGTTATTGGTGGATGCTTGTGACTTGATGGGCGGAACAGCTGGGGACCAACCTACTGTTTCTGGATGTCAACGCAATGCCGTTTTGCACTCTGTTTATTAGTCGGTTTTGTGCTACTGGTGCGTGTTTAGTACCTTAAATTGTTTTTATTTGTTTGGGTTTGTAGAAAATTCGTTGGGTTCATCATATTATATATCCTCTCGACGTTTAGTGTGCAAATAGAACATAGTGAACACAAAGGTTTACACAAGGATTAACAAATATTCTGTTCGATCCCAGGATCCGGTGATGGTGGCCGACTAACTACTAACGCGTTTTCAACGAATGGACCAAAGTATGTATCAGACTAATTGATTATTAATCATAATTTTATTGTATCGCTTTGATAAATCACGTAATCATGAATGTATAATTCTTCAACAAATAACAATTTCCTATAAGTTGGGCCGTATTTCGATCATGTTACTGTTTTTATTTTAAATAAATAGAGAAATAAACCTTTACAAATTTGATATAAGTTTCTTTTAAATCAAACAAATAATTACAAATTTATAACAAATAATAAACTACCCAAATATTAAAACGGAAATTAATGTTTTAAATTCATATATTATGAAAAAACTTAGTCGTTAGTGTGCTTATATTATTGTATTATACTACTACTATATTAATATAATATGTGACATATCACATAGAGAACAATTTCTTTTTATTCTTAATTTTGTTTTTCATTAATGTTTGGCTTATGTGCGTTAATAATCTCAAATAAGAAAGTATAGATTCAAATAACTCCCTTTTACATTTTTAAAAACTAATTGGATAGAAAATTTCATTATATAAAGCTAATATAAAAATAGTAGTTAAACACTGATGTTTATATGTAAGCTACAGTATGCAATGTACTTACATTGACTCAACTTAAATAAAATCAAAAATTATCAATGATAATGCAAATCGATGCAACTCAAAAGATTTAAAGCGCTACATTAATAACTGACTTAAAATTAGACGTAAATTCTAATTATTGAAATTATACTACTGATATTGTGTCATAATCTTTAACTTAAAAATTTAATTTTTTCTTGTAACATAATATTACCTTTAATTATACGTACATATAATATGATAAAAATAAAACTTTAAAGTAGTTTTTGAAAATTATAGTAAGAAATATAACTAAAATATGAACTTATGGCTGGGGGTACTAGATTTTCACTTTTTCTTCTATATCAACAAGATGCCATAATTTTTTTGACCAGGGACTGGAACAAAACCTTAAAACCCGGTTTTTAAACCAAAAACCTTTTAATATGTACAACCCGAGCTGGAATAAGAATTTTTATTTAAAAAGAAACACGCATCCGAACCGAACTGGAAGTTTCAAAAATAAAGCTTATTTAACAATTATTCGTACAATACCTTAAACTATATTATTGTAGTTATGTTATTTACTACTAAATATATTTTATTGTATCTTGAATGTTTGTGTAGTTACTCAAAAATTTTTTAATATAAAGAGTGTCTCACTAGATTCTAACAAATGCATATACTTTTATTGTGGCGATTTGTCAAAACCTAATGGGACACCTATATGTAAAATGTTGAAATTTATTTGTGTAAATTATTTAAATGAATCTGTTGGTAATTTTAAACAGATAATTTATCTATTTTCAAAAATGTTTATAACTATTTATAGTTTGTGATATCATAAGTGATTTACCTAAAATCGCCATTGATTTATCCCAAAGTCCTTGGTTTTAACTATTTTCTTTGATTTCATATTTAAAAAATTTAATTTAGTCTAATTAAAATTTTTATTAATATGTCAAAATTGTCTATATTATTAGTTTTCAATGATACAGCATTCGATCAAGATAAATATTGTAAATAAAACAATTTGACAAATTAAAAATTGTTTTATATATCTACTAATTTACACTTATGAAAACTGTCTATTAAAATGAAAATTGACTTAATGAAAGACAAAATTGTTAAAAATAATTCAATTTTAGTTATTTTGAAGGATAGTTATCTATTATTATAAGGGTAAATAATTTATATATAACTTGTTGGTATACAATAAAGTACTATTTTTTTTTAATTATTTTATTTAGAAGAGAGTGTTGATCTTATTTAAATAACTCATAAAATTATTTTAAAAAAAACATTCAAGTCTAAGATAGTATTCTCTACTCTTCTAAAATAAAAGTTTTCAATTGTTTAAGTAATTTTTCCGCGTGTTTCTGTTGTGATCATTATATCACTACCAAATTAGGTTAGCTAAATGAAAATCTGTAGTTGAGAAACATGTAAATTAAATCTATTTTGGTGCAATATTGTATCACAATGGTAATAACGTGTTTTTTCATTAAAAAATATTAACAATAATAATTCTGTGCAAAATAATCTATAAAATTATAAAAACATACCAAGATAAACATAGCACAGAAAATTGTCTGTAAAAAAACATATTTATGCATAAACGCGTATAATGATGAATTGAATCGTTTTTCTCTCGTAGTTAGGATATAAAAAAAGCAATTGACAGTATTTTCTTGTAAAAATTAGTGTGTCAGTTAATAAATACAATTATTTTTATTGTATTTAATGAAAATAACGAAATTATAAGTCTTTATGTTCTTATAGATACGTGCCTGTACACATCTAAATGTTTAATGGCTAAAAAAGAAAAATAATTATTTACCTAATAAAGAATATTACTATAAATTGTATAAAATAAAATTATTTAATTTTAATAATTTATTTAAAAATTATATAACGTTTAAATAGGTTTAAACTCAATTATAAAATATCGTTGTAGTATATTTAAACATTAACGGAAAATTTCAAAATTACATCTTTGAGCTCAAATTTTACGAGTTAAGTTATTTTAAATTAAGTTAAAATAAAGAAAATAATAATGACTATTTTTGAAACGAAGGGTCTTTGCTTAAAAAGACAAACATATTCTATATTGAATTATAATTATAATTTTTTTAACTAAAAATTTTGGATTAGCAGTAAAATTTAAAATATTAGCAGCCAATCAACATTTTAATATAATGTACATACGAATAGTCTACCACCCTTCTTATCTAAAGAAATGTATGAACAATTTTTTCGAACTAAAACTTCTGTAGGGATTGTGCATAAATTGTTTTTAATATTTTATCGCAATAGAACGATTAGTTTCGAAACACCCAAAGTACAAATTAGCAAACAAACTAATCCCACTCACCAAAAAAAAAACTTATATTTATTGTAGTAGATACAAATGAATAAAACTATTCAAATACATTTACGTGAAAGAATTATTATTTAATGACGAACATGGAATAGTATACTAAATACACCACCTTTTACATAGATATTATAGAAGTAATAATATTTATTAGCAATTAAGTTATTCCTAACATATTTATTTCATGTATCCCATTATTTCTCAACTTAACAAAATACATTTCTAGTAAAAATATTGTTATAAAAATACAGCCGGAAGTGTTTAATCTCGATGAATACGATATATATCAAGAACATTAAAATAAAACTGTCTCTCGAATAATACCTCGTGTAACCACCCCTACGTGTGTGGCCTTCATTTGGCTGTTTTTTTATCATTTCACTAGATAGACAAATGTCACATAGCAGACAAAATGTGTACATTGGCAGATCATCCAAGCAGACAGCTATATTTTTAAAACATCTAGTAGTTGTTTATGACATTAAACTCAAAATACACTTAAAAAAACAAAAGGGAACATTTGAAATCGGTGCTGCTATTAGTCACAACCAGCAAATCGTTTCGTTGACGATACAATTAGCATCGTGTACCTAAGGTGTGTCATAAGGTCCACGTAGAAAGGCATGCGATGGACACGCTAAACGCACGGCCGAATAATTGAAGAGGCGTAGCGAATAGACCGCTGCAATACGGACGAGTAGCTTTAGCGAATAAACGGCACAGTCGTTACAAAATCGTCAGCTCATTGTAAACACAATCTCGTTTGAAACGTATTAGGGTAGCTCGTGTACGTATAATGATATCGTATGACAAGATAGCACATTATCTTGAGATACCAGTGGCACGTACACCGCTCAATTTGCAAAATCAATCAAGTTGGTATCGCTTTCTCAATAGATTTTATTTGAACACATTTCAATGTTTTCTCGTGGAACTCGTTCGATTTGCACACGATTTGAAAAAAAAGTGTCATTATTATTTTGTGTAATAAACCGAAAACTGTTTAGCGACGGTGAATAAATAAAAAATGTCGATGATCGTAGACACGGTTATGATATCGTGAAGCAGCTGTTGTACTGAATCACGGCACTCTGGTGAAATATACCATTGTAAATATGTATATAAATACACAGCTTTCAATGAAAATATTAAAGTCGTTTCGAAAACAGTGTTTGTGTTTCGTAATGGCGTGTGGGCGTACAGGAAATAATAATAATAATAATAATAATAATAACAATTATAAGCTGACAGATTTGTTGGCTCGGCGCCCCGACTTTTTTGGCCTCGGCCATTTAAAGATACTGTAGCAAAGACCGACGTGAAACGCTACAGCATTGCAATCGTGTAGTACAACAACCAATAGGCGACGTACTAATGTTTGTTTGGGTGCCTCTAAAAGCCGCTAATTGACAAAAACAAAATTCGCAACGACATTTGCACAGGCCTGTCACCACCAAAGACCTGTGCCACAACGTACGGATTCCTTGTTTGTACTCTAAACAAACCACCAACGGCGGCACGGTGTCTTTTTTTAAATAGGACTGCGCTGCGGCCCAAAACGGTGGCTTATGCAAACACGGTGCGGTAGAAATGGAAACAAATTTGACGGTCATCGTGTTTGTGCCGGTCGGCGTCGGCTACTGCCGTCGGACACAAACATGGTCCCGGCGCCGCCGATTCGCTCAAGTGTCGCGTCGGCACGTCGATCAAACCCCAATCGACAGCTTGCGTTTAAGTGCCGGGACATTGTAGACGACGACGACTCGGTGTCCCTTTGGACGCGTAAAACTGTCATAAACACAATGAACGCAGGAAATCGAGAGTTGTTATTTTTTTTTTTTTCCGTCGCTATTATGTGCAAACGCGCGCCGAGTCAAAGGGATTATAATTACCGGCGCGAGAATTATCGCGGGAGTTAAAAAGAAGCGCTACGATAAAAAATATTACACACACATATAGTCATTTGTAAACCCAAGATGCCGGCTCCGGTGCATTGGTAATGTAATGGTTATAATTAAAATTATATTGCGTGTGTATGCGGCTCCCCTCGAACGACACGAAAACACGTGTAAAACAGTAGAGAACAAGGCGAA